TAGCGCTGCCTGTGCCAGCGAATCAAGCCCCGCAGTTGATGCAATCCGCTCGATGCCAGGCAAGCTCCCCCAAAATACCGGAAACGAATCTTCGGGTCTCGCAATGTGCACACCAATTCGGAACGAGCTTGTGCGGACTATCTTGACAACCCCTCGTGGTAGCCTACACCATGCGGCTCGTAGCTCGCGTCCGGTGCAAAAAGGGCCTAGGGGCTCGACTCCGGGACTGAGACCAGCGCTTTGCATAGGCAGAAGGTGGTGGTGGAGTGTAGGGCCGTTTCCTGTGGATCCCGCCGGGAAAAAAGCGCAGCTTTTAGGAGCCGTACCGAACCCAAAGCTGTCATGGCTGACCTCTGGAATGCAACAAAAATGGTCTGTGCGCATCCGAGATGCTGCCCTTGCCCGCGGTCATCACCCCTGTCACCGCCTGGGAGGACATCTGTTTGGGGTGTTCATGATTTTGGAATTTAGCTTTTACGGATCATGGCGGGCCCCAGATCTGGAGGTGTGTCTCGAAGCTGAGACGATGAGCATGACTTGACCCTTAAGAAACCCACTCGGATTCGAGAGGCTTGTGTAACCGAGGCTACTAGCACAGAGAAAGGATCCCGAATGGTTTGCTGATGCAGAGGCATCCGAGTACACTCCAAGACGAATGCGAGCTACACTGCAACACCGAGGCTGCACATCCGGGACGCCGGACCTCGACTATACCCTCCTGGCACAGCCAGGGTCGGAAGACATACGGCGGTCGGGTCAGATTAAGATCCTGTCTGACTGGCGTTCAAGAAGATGCCACAAGTTGGTCAAGGGATCGGAGCGGAAACATGCAAAGAGGCACCGCCATAACCTCTGGAGCCACCACCGCTTTGGCCTGGCCAGATTGTGGTCACCACTTGGGTAGCAGGAGCTTAGGACTGATGTTTCGATCCCTCGCCGAGGCCCCAGCCGTAAGAATTCCGTGGCGGATTGCCGCCACGGCCTCGTAACGCAGCAAAGCCTTTTGAACGAAACTCAAAGCTACAAACCTCTGTGACTTCGCCTCGCACAAGTCTAAGTCTAAGCCTCCTTCCTACACCCGACAAAAAACAAACATGTAAGCATTTCACAGTGCTACCACACTCTTCGGGAATTTCCAGCCATCGCCGTTGAGCATGTCACTCCAGAGCAAACTCGACAGATCCCTCTACAAACTGAAATGACTACACCAACAAGAACACAAGCCTCATACTGCCGACCCTACACCCGGAAAACCATCATCAGCCGTGATCCACAACGAGAGCCTCCAACGATTTCGCAGCCAGTGCAGTCCCGACAGTTTGGATGCGCTTCGGCTGTCTCGAAGTTTGGGACGGCAGATCAGCTCACCCCGGGCTCAAACCTTGCACCACACACATCCTCTTGGGACACTGCTTCCCCCACCACCACCGCCGCCGCCGCCTCGCCACTCCTGGTGGTGAGGCACCAGTGGACTGGGGTTAAGACGGGCGAAGGCGATCTCGAAGGCTGCCGGGGCAGAAGGTCTGAAGACCGCTTGGGGTACTCGTACCTTTCTGAGCACCAGCGAGCACCTAGCGGGATGGGGAAACTCACATTTTGGGCCCCGGTGCGGGCAGCCTTTCCGGCTTCAGCTGCCTGTGACTTCTGCAGGCTTCTGCCAAACTAACACCGGATTCAATTGCTGCGCAACATCACCTAAACTAAAGTCGCCGACTGAATAGGAGAGGCTTCGGGCAAATCACGGGCTGTCGGAACTTCTCAGACACGAAGAAGCCCGACCAATGATACGTTGCAGCAGCTATTCCGTCCTGGCGGCCGCCGGATCTGTTGTCGTCGCGCCTTACCACAGTATCGACTTCTAGCAGATTCCAGAGCATTTCTTCTGGGGCCGGAGGGTCAAGCCCAGGGCCCCTGCGAGCCATAGCCGCTGCGTCCTCCTCCAGCCTTGGGCGGGCTTCAGAATGACACAGATAATGCCTCTAACATTTGGGGTGGTTGGACTATTGGCTCTATTCCGGAGTCCTGCGGCTGTCAGGGTGTGGGGCTCGCAGGGCTTCGGGATTAGGTCAGTACAGCTCCGGGTCTTGCAAGCTGCTGCAGGCCTTTCTTCACCTCTGAAAAGCTCCCGTTTCGAAACTCGTCTGACGAGGTGGAAGAGGTTGCTCGCCCTCAGGAAGCAGACTAATATGTAACATCTTGCCAGGCCTGGATTCAATGGCCCACAACTCCCGGAACTCCTGGACCCGTGGCCGCTTGGACCATCAACCACAAACTGCCTGTTACCCAGCCTGCCCACAAGAATCACAAGAAAGCAAGAACCTTTCTTGTGCTCGCCATCTACAACAACACAGCGCGTGAAGTAGGACCTTCCAAATGCGGCCAAGAGGAACGTAGCCGCTCTGCGGTGGAGGAGGGGGGCGCGAGTAGCCAGACTTGCCCTTCAGGCCGCCAGGTGTTGAGGGTTTCGTACGCCAACAAAAAGGTACAGGTACCGCTGCAAATAAGGATCCTGAAAATGCCCTACAATGAAATGGACATGTGCATGTGCATGTGCATGTACACATACATATACATATACATATACATATGTGCATAATGTACTTATATATGTCTACATATATGTATAGATATAGACATAAACTTATAAGAGTGCTGTATATGTTTGTATGCATGTGTATGTGTATATATATATATACATACATACACATGTACATATGCATGTATGCACGTATGTCTGTATGTCTGTATGTCTGTATGTCTGTATGTCTGTATGTCTGTATGTCTGTATGGCTGTATGTCTGTATGTCTGTATGTATGTATGTATGTATGTATGTATGTATGTGTGTATGTATGTATGTATGTATGTATGTATGTATGTATGTATGTATGTATATGTATGTATGTATGTAGATTTGATGCATATATTGTCGCGAAAGCCTGCTCGAAAAGAACTCGTAACTGGCCTCGTGGTCCCGGTCCCAGTTCGGGCGGCCACCCTTCGGCGCCGGCGGCGCGGGGCGGCCCTTGTTGCCCTGCATGGGGTCCGTCAGAATAAGATGGAAACACAGATTGCTTGCAACATCGTGCACAAGCATCCGTGGACGTTGGCATTTGGCATAAACGTAGGTGCTGAGGGCTTAGCACAGAAGACAATGAAATTGAAAAAGCCAGTTGCCCATCTGTGATGCCAACAAGTACAGTCGCAAGAACTCGGCAAGCTAAAATCCACCGCTCTTGTTCGTCTCGCAAATTGAAGCAGGTTGAAAGCTCACCAGAGAGTTTCACTGCCGTGCTCCGCAGCTGCCTACAACAGCTTTGTTTATGCCTGGCCCGAAGATGAAAGCTGATGAAGCCCCGAAGCGCTTGGCCCGTAGCTGCGTCGCCTCGTATTTGCCACCCTTTTTGCCACCTTTCTCGTGCCCTTTGCCTCGATCGCTGGCTTCTGGCCTGGCTGTGCACTGCTTGGAAGCCGGGATCCCGGGAGGGCTGTGATGCAAATCACAAACTCTCCACAATACGGCACCCGACGCTCCCAGCGAACATGGAGCCCTTCCCTTTCAGAGAGGATCTTCATGACCACTGCACCCGAGGATCTCATCAACAGCAGTCCAGCACCAAAACGCTCCAACACACAAGCGCAAGAAGGTTACATCTCATGGATGCCACGGGTGTGATGCCGGCACAGCTGATACTCTGTCCGTTGGGCATATCACGCCGAAAGCAAAGGAGAATGCAGCACTCACTTCAGACGCATGTGTCTTCTGTGAATCGAAAGCCTGGAAAACCAGAGCTTCAAGTCGAAAAGCACAACCCTGCCGCAGAACCTGCAAATCCAGTTAGCCAGCATGGACCTTCCTCAATCCTGCAAGTAGAGATGTGAAAGCCAGTCCACGTACACACACGCTTGTGTACAACCAGGCTGGGCTGTACGTTCGAGGCGGTGGTGCCTGGGACGATTGAGCAGGTCTTCTGCGAAGGCTTTGTTCTTGGACCTTGAAGGTAGCAGCCTTTTGGGGCCCTGGCAAGGAGAGGTCTGAAGTAGCATCCGCATCTTCGGATTCGAGCTCCGGGGAATGTGGTTCCGGCTTCGTGGTGCATTTCCGGTGGACTTGCAGCAAATTAGTGATCTTGCCACCCTTCAAGAAGCTGCTGACAGTCATCTCGAAGCAGGTATAGGGAAGCCTCTTTTGCAAGCAGAACACCAAAGAAGCATCGCACTTGTGCCCGAAGCCTACAGGCCAACATCATCTGCCAGAAGTGGATCCTATGACTTGCAGTCCTAGGAAGACCCTCCGCACTGAATGCGTTCAGCGCCTGAAACTGGAGGTTTGCCGCCACATGGAACTCCCCGAGGTCCGGACAGGTCTCTGAAACTTCAGGACTGCAGTTTCGTCGCCGGCATCTATGCAGCCTCGTTTGCGCTCCCAGAGGATCACGAAGGCTTCTCCTCCAAAGTTAAGCCCGAAAGCTCCCACAACGTGCAAAAAGGCTCTAAAGTTAAACCCCCGGACCATAAAGCCTTAACCCTGAATCTGTTTCTTCAAGCTCTCCGAGTCAAGGAGTCAAGGTGTAGCCCCTAGGAGCACCCAAGATCTGGGCCCTACAACCTCTGAGCTCATCGCCGTCAAGAGAATGACCACCGTGATGGGATTACAATGGATTACAATTGCAGAAAAGTAGAAGCATGATAACAACATATAATAATATATAACACAACCAGCACGCTTTCTTGGCCGGTAGTGCACAGGCTTGAGGCCGAAAGATCTTCAAAGCTGGGCCGAGGTCGCCCCTTTCCCGCAAACCCAAGCTACTCTCAAGCGGAAACCCCACATCTGGAGTTGCCAAGGCCGCACAGACGAGGCCTTGCCACGAAAACGAGCCAAGCCCTGGCACTTCAATTTGACAAGCATCTTCACCGCCCAGAGCCGAAACCGAAACCAGCGGAAGAGCTGGCAACGACCCGCCCTTCGCCATCTCTGGGTCATCTCTGGGCCATCGACGCTGTCTGTCCCTTCGGTGCTCCTCCGCAAGGCGGAGGAACTTGTCCAGCGGCTCCTGAGCTTGGATATGTCGCATTTTTAGAAAGGCGGACAGAAGGCTGCGAACCAAGTCCCAAAATAGACCTCCGAAGACCAAAGGTATCACATCCTAGGTCCCCTTCCTCTCATCTCCCTGCTTTCTCCTCCACAGGCATCGTCGCTTCCAGAAGCTGCGTCTCCTTGCTGATGGAGACGGAATCCTGCAAAGGCGAGAAATCTTCAGCTTCCCTCTCGGGCTCTGGGCACGGTTTAAGGTTTAGGGTTTAGGGTTTAGGGTTTAGGGTTTAGGGTTTAGGTTTAGGGTTTAGGGTTTAGGGTTTAGGGTTTTGGAGCTCGCTTGGAGCTCACGGTGGCTTCCTGAACCCGCCTTTCTTGAGAGCGCTTGCATGAACCGCCCCCCACCCATGTCCTTTACTAAAGCTATCAGCTCTTCGTTCGTCTGCACGCCGAACATCTTCAGCTGCAGGCTTCTCCTGTAGTACCTGTTGACGAACTTGGGGCTATGAGGCTCCTTCGCCCCTTTGCCCTGAATACCCAAGGCGCAGGACCCTATCTCGAAGGCATACCTGGCAAGTGTCCTCGGCCTGGATTCACTGTGCCTAGCTGCTGGCTCCCTTCGATAATGGCCGGATCAGAATATGAACCCAAACAGATTGGGGGAAGCTCCACGCCCCTAAACCCTAAACCCCTAAACCCTAAACCGTAAACCCAATCTACTCAGCTACTGAGGTCCACTCGTCAAGCCCACTGAACAAGGACTCGTCCTTGAATACTGGGGATCCGATATTCCTTCAGCCAAGCTGTAGCTCAAGAACTCCCCAAACCGATGAGCCTCCGGCCTCGGGTTTTTCGAAGCGCAATCAGGGCCCCGTATCCCGTGGACAACCTGCGAAAAGCCTGACCTTCTCCTAGATCACTGAGGCTGCGGGCTTGTGGAAGTAGAACTCCAGGTGACGCTCGTGGAAGCTCGGCCTGGCAGCAGGAGGCTCCTACACTCCTATACTGAACTTAGACCCCTAGCAAGGGTTTATAGTAGCCAAAGGTTTAAAAATATTTCTAAGTACCCCTAAGGAAAGGCATCGGGTCCAGTGGTTTGGGATCCGTCTGTCGGGGATTTGAAGCTCTGGCCATGGGAGCTTGGGACAAAAGGCATTCCGGCTGAGGAACGCTCAACTTAGAGCCTTGTCGAAGAGCCTCGGTCCCGGGGCTTCTGCCATCTCTAGAGGATCCTCACGCCCAAGAAACCCCGAATCAGGGGAGACCTCATCCTGAGCCGGAGCGCAGGCCTGTCTTCATCTGCGACGTCATGCCTAAAGGCATGCACCAGCAGATGCAGCCTGAGAGGCCGTCGCTGGGACTCACTGGGCCTTGCTACGAAGACGTCTTAAGCCTCGGACTCGGAGGAGCTTCAAACGAAGTGCGGCACTGGGCCCTCTAAGAACTCTTAATAGCTTTGGGTTGGGGACAGCACAGCGCCTAGGGCCTTACCCGAGGTGCCGGCTCGTATCTAAGGGTGAGGAGGACCCAGTCCTGTCCGAGAGACCGCAAGGTTGCGATCCGAGACTTGTAATTTGAAAACCAAGATCGAAGGCAGTCTCGGAGTAGAACGAAGCTTGAGCTTCTCATACTTAGCTCCGTGAGCTTCCACAGGAAGCGAGTTGTTCAAGCCTGGGGGCACATTTTCCAACTCACACAACCTCACTTCGGATGACAAGCTCATGCCCAAGGACGAGTGTTGCAAAGACTGGGCGTAGAGTCTCTGCACAGGCCGCGATGTCAGGTCTTTCTCTGACTCACGACTCGCAACCGAAGCCTACTGTCCTCATACACGAAGCTGAGGAAAAGTGGCCGACCATCGCCGATGTCCATGACCTTCCACAAACTTAAGCGGCTCAAGCAGACAACATGCAAAAAGAAGGTAGTAGAGACCTGTCTCGCAGCCAAAGCCTGTAATGCACGACCACGACAGTGAAAAAGAAGGGCGACCAACGCCCTGAGCGTCTAAAGTCCTCAACCTCGAAATCCTGTTCTTGCGATGCCAGGTGCATTTTCGACGCCGAAGACATCCAAGTCCTCGTCATTCACCTGGAGGTGAGACCAACGTGCCATCGCAAGCCCACTTCGGAGGCAAAGCTACGGCTTGAACCCTGCATGGCACTAAATCATAGGATTTCCGCCGTTGCATCTTCGTAGCAGATTGCGAAGCCAGCCATGTATTGCCCGTCCTCCGCTTGGCCCTCAGGGGCGCCGCCCTCGTCACCTCGAAGATTTCTTGGACTGCACCGGTTTGGAGGTTCCAGGTTTCGGCTAAAGCGTTTTCAAGCTCGAGAGGGTGAGATCTGAGATTGACACACACTGGTCCCACAGGAAGCTTTTCGAAGCGGCCATGGTGAGTTTGCCAATAGCAGGTCGAGATTTGAGGTTAGATCACAATAAGATCATGTTGGGGCCTCGAAATTCTTGAAAATTCCGAAGGCATTTGTCAAATTTTGCACCCGAAGTTTGTGTACTGAAGTAGCGGCGCCCGCTGGACACTGACTCAGAGGCCATCCGAAAACTGAGGACATGGCCTTCTTTCATTTCAGCATCATTGCCTGGATCTGCAGATACCTTGCATGCAACGCAGATTCCATGGCCAGCGTAAAGGTTCCAGAGTTCCGTTCCGGATTGAATGTCAGTGAGAGCAGTACCGCGTATGTCTCCCTGCTGCCTAGATCCAGCGAAGGTAGATGACGGGAATGGGGGATTACACACAAATGCAGGTATGTATGCATGTATGTATGTACATATGTCTGTATGTACGTATGTAGGTATGTATATGCATATATATATATATATATACGTACATACATACATGCATACATGCATACATACATACATACATACATACGGTGCGGTGGTTTGGGGAGATGAGCATCGACCGAGAAAAGGGCGGACTCTCAGTGCAAGGCCTACAGGGCCTTGCCCCGGCAACACAACGAACAGCAATAATCATCAAGAACCAACAGCGCGAAACGACGACGAGATAGATGGCATGAGGGTGGTAGAACTGTTGTTTCCGGTGGCATCCAGGGGTAGACCCTACCCCTGTCAACCCCGTGGTGCCACAAGCCGCATCGGGGCCTCCTCGCAGTTGATGTGGAAGGATGGCACATGCACTGCGCGCTGATACAGGAGGTGCTCTTCGGCCCGAGATGAGGAGACCCTCCCCACCTCAGGCCTTAGTGCCGCCTCCGGGGTCCTCAACCACCACCCATCAACAGAGAATCTCCAGCACGGACCCGGAGGACATACATACCTACATGCATCCGCCCATGCATGCAGACATACAGACAGATAGACATACAGACATACATATTATATGCACAATCATCTTCGACTGATTCTGGACGAATGTATATGGTTCATACTACGGTAACATACACGCGTATGCTTGTACGTATGTGCGTATCTTTCGACCAGCTAACGTTTGCTGGGCCGCAAATCTGTCTGAGTCAGCGTTCAACGATGAATGATTCCATCTCGTCACCGAAAATAGCAGCCCAGCACATGAGTGGTCGGGCCTCCTTGCGGGGCCTCTTTCGGAACTCGCCTTTCCGAACGGCCTGCTTGCGCTGAGTGTGAGGAGGCTTCAGGCTGGAGGCTTTCGGGCATTCGGGGCAAAGATGAAGACTACAACAAGACAAGACACAGACAAGCAAGAACTGCAGCTTCACATGTTTTTGGGGCTGCACCATTCAGCTGCGCTTGGTTTCTCTTGTACAACTCGTGAAGATATTCGGGGATTTTACGGTTGTTGGCTGAGTGTGCACTGCAGTGCAAGCTTCGTTTACAGGTGCTCCAGCTGACAGCTTGACATGAAAGACAGGGCTTCTGATCTTATCCGCTTCTCCGGTCCTGGCCTCCCGGATCTCGCTCTGCTTCCGCTTCCACTCCTGGTACTGATGCTGCCATCGGTCCTGGCTACACAACAGGATGGACAAAAGGAGCAGTCGTGTCGCCTGCGTGTAAGGAGCTATTACAGGCTTCAACGCTGAACGCCAAAGTGTTCGGATGCATGGGGCTTAGAAGCCTGGCTGTGGCATCCCTTCAGCTTTCATAATATGTCTGTGCGCAAAGCCTGCAGGCCCAGCCCTAAGCACAAGGAGAAATAGGCCCTCGTGATGACAAAGCCAGCACTAGGAAGGTTGGAAACTCTAAACCCTAAACCCTAAACCCTAAACTCTAAACCCTAAACCCTAAACCCTAAACCGTAAACCCTAAACCGTGGTGCCCTCTTGCCCCTCTGCCCCTCTGCCGATTCTGGGGCTCCAACGAGGCGCTCCCTGAACCAGGTCGATGGGTTTAGGTCCTGCCCAAGTCTACAAGGGAGTTTCTGAGTATTTGGGGGGGGGCCCAAGTCTACTTGTTACAAGGGAGTTTCTGAGTCTTTGGGGGGGGCCCAAGTCTACAAGGGAGTTTCTGAGTATTTGGGGGGGGTCCTTATAATAAGGGTCCTTCTTTTTAGGGTACGATATTAGGGTCCCCTATGCCCAAGTCTAATCTAGGAACCTGATTAAGAAACCCTGGGTCTCTTAATATGAACCCTAATATTTTGGGTGTTATGGGCCCAGGGTTTCTTAATCAGGTTCCTACATTGCGCGAACCAGAAGCTCCACTTGCAGATTATAACCTGATGGTGGCTTTATCCAAGACTCGGGGATGCTTGTGGCTCGGGCCCGGGTCAGGGAGAGCCACACTTGTTTGGGCACCCGTTCCGAAATCTGCGGGCTCCACACCGATCCTCGATTCGCATTGTCTTCTTGTGGTCGAGGACCTCGCTGGGCGGTTTGCAAGGTTTAGAGCTTTTCTCAACAGCTGGACCTTCTGCCGTGACCCACAACAAGCCTCGAGTGCGTCTGAACCTCGAAGCCCGGACTCCTAAGTCCTGTTTTGAGTCTTGAGGGTTCGAAGGACCCCGGGAGCCGAATCTGGGCCGCCGTGCTCTTGAGCTTCCTCAAACACTGTGCTATACTGCGCTTCAGGTTGTCACTGAAGCAAAAGAAGCCAAGCACAGACTCCGAACCCAAACCTCGCAACACACAGAGGCTGGTGCCCACTCGCTGATGATCTTCTGGCACTCGTCCTTTTGCTGCCAAACATACCTGTTTCATGTGGAAGGTCTTAAGGTCTGTTGGGGGCCATGATGTATGCAAGCCCCCACTCAAAAACATGCTGCTACTCCTCGTACATGTCTATGTATATGTATTACGCGTGTGTGCGTGTGTGTGTGTGTGCGCGCGTGTGTCTGTATATACATTATATATATATATATATACATATATATATATATATATGTATATATGGTCGCCCCCCCCGTTGACAGACCATGCCCT